TGTAGCGTCCTCTTAAGACATCACGCACATGATCAACCGACATCGGTGTAATTAATCTTTAATCGATCGACAAATATTCGTCGAAAGATTGACTGGTTTGCGAYCCCTGCTGTAGGGGATAGTATTTAAGCACGTAAATTGTTATAGGACAATTAATTGCACAATTAAATTATAGTAGKTCATTCGACGGACCTTTATTGGTTACACGGACAATACATAATATTAAAAAATAAGTTATAGTACAGAAGAGTATTTATAACAGCATGTATCTTGATTTAATTAGTTTGTTATCTTTTTATTTAAAGACACGAGAAATAATATTGTTTTGGATTTCTTAGAAGGATGTCAGTGCACTATTTGTTTTCTCTCTCTGACCCACGCACAACATWGGCAAAAYGCATTTAMRCAGAATTAWATTTTTTTGCTTTTAAGTAATTTTAGAGTAAAATCGCTTATTAAAACAARTATAAAAAATAATATTTTTGAKGGAATGACATATATATTTTATTTTTATTTTATCTTGTATTCGAGTATTACTCTATTAAACTTTCAAAATTAAATTATCTTTAAATTGTTTTGAGACAATATTTAGACAAATCGATATGTCGTTCCCTCTAAAATATTATTCATTATCTTTTTTTGTAATGAATGATTTTTTACTCAACGATTACTTAAAATCATAAAATAATAATTCTGTGTAAATGCGTTTTGTCTATGTTACGCGTAGGTCCGAGAAAAAGAGAACAAAAGTACGATGGCATCCTCTTAATTGATTTGGATTATTAATGAAATTCTACATTTGTATTTGAACAACTTGAATTGCTATTATAGTATTATGTATATCGTATATGTTCGTCGAGTTTTTATATTTTTTTTTAACTGAAGCAAAGTATGTACCTATTTTTTAATTTTGTATGAYCTATTGGTTATTTTTTATATATTTCTGTAGACATGTTCTTAAGCAAGAGTTTCCAACCCTACTCTTATTTAACAATTGAAAATCCATAGTAGGTATATAATATGGATATTGTACTCTGAATAGCTCATTTTTACAGTTTTTTCATGGCCTAGTTTCTTAATAGGACGTATAAACTAAAAAGTGGTGTTAAAGAAATGACAAAATGTAAGAGATAAAATGTTTTTTTAAGAATTGACATTGTTTAAGATTAGGTATTTTCAGAAACACCAGCTAGGTGCCTAGGTACCTACATAATACAAAATCTTTATTTTTCTTGAAAAGCTTATAATACTTTATACAGTTTTTACTGGGTATAACTGTATAAAGTTTTATTTTTTTTACTATTGTATCACTGGTTTTATGTTTTAAATAAATTTGGTTTAGAATTGTAAAATAAAAGTAAGTACCTACTTTCTATTTGCATAGGTACTAAATTTGTTTTGTTTTTGGACTTTGATGTTTTTACAAACAAATCATGTGTATTGATTGTATAATATACCTACTATACAGGGTGATTCTTTTATCAAACAACACTCATTATTTCAAAAACTATTGA